GACTCTATTTATTTATTTTTATTTGTCAATCGCTTTCAAGATAATAGGTATAAGTACATACATAGTTGTGAATACATGAAATGGGTACATATAAGAAAAATAAAAGAAACAATAGGACAGGGACGGTAGGCACATTGGTGCGCTTATGCACATCCCCTAAGACCTCTTAGGCAAGGGGTGAGGTCAATAGTAGACAGTCCAAGGTTAAAGTTTTTGGGGTTTGGGGAAGAAACCACAGAGTCAGGTAGAGGATTCCAGACATTGACCCCTCTGTGGCTGAAGTCCTATTTCCTGCAATCGAGTTTGGTGCGGTTAACCTTGAGTTTGTATCTATTGTTTGCTCTTGTGTTGTTATGGCTGAAGCTGACAGGTAGGACATTGCAACGTATGATTTTATATACTATACTTAGATCGGACCGAAGGCGGGGTAAGTTCTAGGTTGTCTAGGTCTAGAATTTCGAGTCTGCTGGCATTAAAAAAAAAAAAAAACCACATGGATCTAATAAAACATAAAACAAATCTACTGGATAAAGAAGAAGTTGGCACAAGTTTAAAAAGAAAAAGAAAATCAGGAATGACGAAACGAAACAGCGCCGGCCCCTTTCGCTTTCCTTTTCGAGTTTCGTTTCCTCCGCCCGCAGAAGCGCAGCGCTGGCAGCTTTTGTTTTCCGGAGACTCTCCGCCCTGCCGGGCAGTGTCTCAAGTCGGGAGGACCGTATAAAAGGAGGCGGTCGGAACCGGCGAAGTCAGAGGCGGTTTTCCTATTATTTGCGGCTGCGGACTGAGCGAGAGCTCGAGAACACGGACGGCTGAAGATGGTAAGAAGCGGGGCGAAGCGACCGTGGGAAAGCGGGCCTGCGTGTGTATAGGTATATAGGTATAGGTAGATAGATATAGGTATATACATACAGATAGATACAGGCATATAGATATAAGATACAGATTTAGAGAGAGAGAGATAGATAGATAGATAGATAGATAGATAGATAGAGATTTAGATATAGATATATCTCTCTCTTCCCTCCCTCTCTCTTCCCCCCCTCGGGGTCCTGGAGAAGGAGGCCGGGTGGGGATGCGGGGTGGGGCGGGAAAGTCGCCTTCACAGCCCGGTTAAAGCGATCCTCTGTTGGGCGCTGAATGTTAACCCCGATCCTCCGTTGCGCTTTTCCCAGGCGCTGACCCTGAGCGTGAAGCTGCTGACGGGCGAGGTCCACTCCGTGGTTTGCTCCCCCAACCAAACCGTCTGGGATTTCAAAACCCAACTGGGTCGCCAGGCCGGGGTGTCCCCCTATCAGCAGAAGCTGGCTTCCTCCACCGGCGGCCACCTGGACCTGCAGGACGGCGCCCCGCTCGCCACCTACGGGCTGCGCACCGGCGACACTCTCCTGCTGATGGTGAAGAACGAGGAGTCCATCCCGGTTCTGCTGAAGAACGCCAACAACCGAACCACCACTTACCACGTCCTGCCTTCCGACACGGTGGGGCGGTTCCGAGCCCAGATCCGCGCGCAGGAGCGAATCCAAGACGACCAGTACTGGCTGACTTACGGGAGCCAGACCTTGGAGGATGGGCGCACATTCTCCCATTACAACATTTGCCCCGGGGGCACCCTGACCCTGAATCTACGCCTGAGGGGGGGGGGAAGAGGGTCTCCCCCGTAAACCACCTGGGATGAATTAGTTTATCTCCCCCCCCACCCCCGTCCCAATTTCTGTTTTGTGAGCTTCCCTTGCAATCCTGTACCTTGAATCACGATTTTTCTCCCATCCTTGTTGTTAGAAGAGAAGGGGGTTGTCTTATGTAACTCACCTGTAACTCTGAGTTTACCTGGACAGGGCTGTGAAATGATAAATAAAAACAAAATGTTTTTCCCCCCCAGACAGTCCTTTGTTTCTATTTTTGTTTGGGCTCAGCGTTTTAGGTAATTCAACCACGTTTCCCTTGGGTTTGCCTCCATAATCATATAACAACAGAGGTGGAAGGGACCTTGGAGGTCATTTAGTCCAACCCCCTGCCCAAGCAGGAGGCCCTTATATACCATTCCAGACAAAGGACTCTTCCGATCTTTTCTGGAAAACTCCAGTGTTTTACCCAAACTAGGAAACATCATCAGGGCTAAAAGAAAAGGATGATGGGGGCAGAAGGAGAACTGTGGGGTTTTGGTGCTTTCTGGACTTGTTTTTGTACAGAAGTTTCATTTTATTAAAAAAAATAATTTTATTAATTATACTTTAAAATATTGGACACAGTGCGACTGTCCTGGCATCATCTTTGCCTCACATACTAAAGTATTATGTTCAGTTGTAATTACTTATGTAACCTCAACTGTCTGTTTTACAAATCCCAGTTAATTTTTATTCCTCAGCCCCTCCTTTCCATTCCCACCACTGATATAATTTATTCCATGATATTCTGTCTCGCCTGTATTTTTAAATTCCAACGTCAGTCTATCCCTTTCTGCACAAATCCGTATTTTCTTTGTCACTTCGCCTTCTGAGGGGATTTCTCTATTTTTCCATTACTGACCGAAAAAAATCATACTTGCTGGCGAGTCGTGGTAAAAAAATAGTCCTGGTTTCTTTTTCTATTTTTTGTACAGATGTTTCAACACCCAAACTAGGTGACATATCGTGAGTGCTAGGGGGAAATGGGGGGGTTTCCAGGAGGAGGGGAAGGACTGTGGGGGCCTTGGTTTTCTCTTAGCTTGCTTCTTCTTTCATTACCCAAACTAGGTGACATCATCACATCACTAGCCTGATGATGTTACCTAGCTGGAGTGATGAAATGTCTGCGAGAAAACAACCAAGCTTAGAGACCACGGAAGTGTCAGGGCTCCAACAAATCCCCCTCATTCAAAGCAAAAGTCTCTAGCCGCATCTCAGAAAAAGTAAATTGGTTTATTAGAGATTGCCATGTTGGTGTGTGCCTGGTTGGAGCCGGTGCTAAATCACATCATACATTTCCCCCTTGACCCTGGTCTTCCCCCCCAACCCAGCTGGATGTGACTTCTCCAATGGGACACCTCACTCTCCATCCATCATGCTCTCCAATAACCTTCTTATGCTCCGACAACTTTGGGCTGCTGAGTTGGTTATCTGGGCATTTCAAGAATGCCTTGTTTATCCCTCACTCCCTTTTTCTGGCAGCTAAAAAAATCCAAAGGAGTCTCTTTTTAGTTGACATGAAGATTGTGTCGGGCGAGTACTGGACAAGAAGAGATGGTGCAGTGGTGGGATTCAAATACTTTTACTACCAGTTCTGTAGGTGTGGCTTGGTGGGCGTGGCAGGGGAAGGTTCCTGCAAAAAAAAAAACCCATTCCCTCCCCCACCCCACTCACTAACCTGATTTCCAGCTCCCTTCTCCTGTGCAGGGCAACCAAAGAAGGCCCAGCCGATCAGCTGGGACTCAATGGGAGGCAGAGAAGAGATGGGGGCGGTCAGTGGTGGTATTCAGTTTTTTTTACTACCGGTTCTGTGGGTGTGGCTTGATGGGCTTCGCTTGGCTTGGTGGGCGTGGCTTCATGGGCGTGGCATGGGAAGGATACTGCAAAATCCCCATTCCCTCCCCACCCCGCTCACTAACCTGCTTTCCAGCTCCCTTCTCCTGTGCAGGGCAACCAAAGGAGACCCTTTGGGACTCAATGGGAGGCAGAGAAGAGATGGGGTTGGCGGGGCCAGTCAGAGGCGGGATTAGCCGGTTCTCCGAACCACACGAAATTTCCGCTACTGGTTCTCCAGAACTGGTCAGAACCGGCTGAATCCCACCTCTGATGTGGTGCTCTAGGATGGCACCAGAGGGCGATCCTGCCCCACGGATGAACTTGGGCTGTCTTGCGAATTGCTGGAGACAAAAGGATCCCGCCTGGAACCTGTCAGTCCCGCAAGCCGCCTCTTGGGCGAGACAGTGTAGTGGGTGGGCGACAGCCTCTCGCTTGGACGTTCTCTCTCTCTCTCTCTCTCTCTGGGAAGCGGCAACCCAGCGCAATCCCTCAGACAACTTGTGGGGATGAGACCCCCCCCCCCGCCCTCGCCCGTAAAGACATCAAGAGCCGGGGAATAGGTTTGAGTGCGCGTCTTTCTCCTCGCCACTCCAGCAACAAGAAGGGACGTGATGGGCTTTGGAAAAGTCTGGGGGGATTTCTGTAGCTACGAGACACCCAAAGTGATCGTGGTGAAGAACCCTAACCTGGGCGTCATTTACAGGCTGGTCCAGCTTCTAATCCTGGTTTATTTCATCTGGTAAGTCTTCCCGCCCTCCTGGTGGTGGTGGTGGTGGTATTTAAAGATGCCCTGGGGCGGGTATGATTCGAGGGACAGCTTGACACGGGTACGTTAAGAAGATTTAGCCAAGGAAACACAGGGGAATCTGTGACTTACGTGGGTATTTATTTAATATTGCATATTATTATATTAGATCCAGACCACTGGGAGGAAAGAAGAAATATTCGTCCCTAAAAGCAGAATAATTTTCTTTTAGAGGCAGGCTGCAGAGAAATGGGGGACAACAGGAGATTTTTATGGGGGAGCTTGAAATGTCTGTGTGCTGATTCTAGGGCGACACGTCTTTGTCTGTGTGTGTGTGTGTGTAAGTGTTTATTCTTGTGAGCATGCACTTCCTCTGGGAGACCTAGTTTAATTAACTCTGTTGGCGTTTGCAGACCTTATCCTTTGATATGGGGATTAGGTCTGGGAAATTTATTTTGGGGGGGGGGCGTTGAGGAAGGGATTTTCTGCTTTAGGGCTGGTCGAGGAGTTGTCCAGGCGCCACTGACGTCCCGCTTTTTGCGACAGGTACGTGTTTAGCAACCAGAAGGGCTACCAGGAGAGTGAATCTGGCCCAGAGAGCTCCGTCATTACCAAAGTCAAAGGGGTCACCTTCTCGCAGCATAAAGTGTGGGATGTGGAGGAATACGTGAAGCCCCCCGAGGTGAGACACCCCTTGCCCAAAGCAACTTTTCCAAGCAATCAAGGGAGGAGCATTTGGGGGTGGGGCGGGGGGAAACAGGGGCTCGGTCACGCCTTTTCCTTGCTGGAAATACAATCCTTGGTGGTATAAACAGATCAAAGTCAGGTGAAGCATTACTACCGCTTTATAAAGCCTGAGATTGAAGACCACACCTTCCTTCCTTCCCTCCTCTTCCTTCTTCTCTAATCGTTCCTTTCTTTTCTCCCTCCCTCCCCTTCCTCCCTTTCTCTCTAATCCGTCTTCTCTCCCCCCTTCCTCTCTAATCCTTCCCTCCTTCTTCCTTCCTTCCCCTCTAATCCTTCCTTCCTTTCTTCCCTCCCAGCCCTTCATTCCTTTCTCTCTAATCCTTCCTTCCTTCCCTTCCTCTCCTTTCCTTCCCTCCTTCTTCCTTCCTTCCTTCCTTCCTCTAATCCTCCCTTCCTTCCCTGCCCTTCGTTCCTTTCTCTCTAATCCTTCCTTCCTTCCCAATCCTTCCTTTCTTCTCTCCCTCCCCTTCCTAATCCTTCCCTTCCTCCCTCCCCCTTCCTTTCTTTCCCCTTCCTTCCTTCCTTTCCCCTCCTTTCCTTCCTTCCTCTAACCTTTCCTTCCTTCTTCTGTAACCCTTCCCTTCCTTTCTTCTTTCCCACCCTCCTGTTCCCTTTTCCCTCTCTAATCCTTCCTTCCTCCCCTCCTCTACCTCCCTCACTCTCTATTTTCCCTCCCTCTCTAACTTGGACCCATGACTGCAATGGAGATATGATATCAGCAGATCTCTGAAAAGAACCTCTGGGAAGGTAAAAATGTATTTCTGCTGATGGCTCCGTAAGGTTGATTCACGTGGCTTTGAAAGGCCAGCTTGGACATCTGCCTTCACACGCACACACACCCTTCCTCTCCCCCAATTGCAGGGAGGCAGCGTCTTC